GCACAAAAACCTGAGAGGAGAATGGAAGAGAAGGAACTGCAGCATCCCCCTTAAGCAGTGTGTTCTTTTTTTTTTCTTTTTTTGGAGAGGTTTTTGCTATAGGGCGCGTGTGCTCGCCAGACAGACAGAGAGACAGAGAGACAGAAAGCGAGAAATCACCCCCCAGGGGGGATGGTCACACCACAATCCCTTCTCCTCCATTCTCCTCTTGGGATCTTGGGCACGCACACACACACGCCCGGCGTGAGTTTTCAGCCACCGGGTCCGGGACGCGAACCACGGTTGACTACGTGGGAGTCCAGCGACATAGCCGGTACGCTAACTGCTGGTTCCCAAGCAGTGTGTTCTTACTCCTCACCCCTCCACTCCCCCCATCCCCATCTCCATCTGCCTCCATGGAGCACAGGGGTCCTATACTCAGGGCTATCGTAGAAGAAACTCATCCAGTTAAGCCCAATGCTGGCTGGCTAATCTCACTTCAGCCAGCCCACTCTCCCTTTTTGCGAGTGTACTTTGTTTTGCTTAGCTAAATAAAGTTTCTATATTACCTTATTATCTGCTGGTATCTGCTTTCAAATCTTTGTTGGCAGACACCAAGAACCAAGGATCCTATTCACCCTATAACAAGTAGAGTTCTTTAGAGTGAAGGAACAGTTCTGTACCCTGTTTCTGATAGTGGTTACATGAATCTACATGTGTGTTCAAATTCATAGAACCCCAAAAATGAATTCTATTGTTTGATACTTTTTTAAATAATTATTTATTCATTCATTTATTTTAATTTGACCAGAAAGAGATACACGGAGAGAGAGAGGGAAAGTGAGAAAGCAAGCCACCAGGTCCAGTACTCGAACCACGGTCGGCCATGTGGTAGAGTCCAGCACCTTAACCACCACGTCACCTGGTGGTCCCATTGTTTGATACTTTTTTTAAGTAAATTTTTAAAATTTTGCCAGGGGATAGCCAGTGGTGTGGTGATTCAGGTGGCTGGATTCCACATGGCTGACTATACAGTTTGAGTCCCAGACCTGGAAGCTTGAAAAAACACACTAAGTATGTGTGCATGTGTGGTCAAAATCCAAAAAGGAGTATGAAAGAGAAGGGATTGTGAGGTGGTCATCACTGTCCCCTGGAAAGGGAGCTTTCTCACTTTCTCTCTATCTCTGTCTCTCTCCAGCAAGTACACATACCCTATAGCAAAATTTAAGTAAATAATTTTGCCAATAAAGCAAGTGAGAATCTTGGTTTTCTGTAATACTGTTTTGACACAAGTGTACATATGCCAAAACACTAGTTTTGCTTGCTTTTGCTATGTATAAAGATAATCCTATGGCATGCCCTATTTTGTATCTGGCTTCCTTCCCATTGTCTCCATGAGTGCCTTAGTTCATTCCTTCTCATAGCTGTGTAGTATTTCATGAGGTTGGTATGGCACAATTTACTTTGGCATTTCCTGTTGATGTACAATTGAGTTGTTTCCAGTTTTTTGCTGTAACAAATAAAGTTACTGCATGAACATTCCTGTATCTCTCCTGGGTTTTCGTGCCTGGGCAAGAATGCTTATCAGAGACAGTTTATGATGGTAGAATAGTAAATCACACAATAACTAACCATCCAATAGGAGAATTGTAGCAAATAATAGCATATTATTCAAATCACCTCAGAACATGTGAGCCACTGCAGGATAAATTACACAGGCATTAACTAGATGGCTGTTGTGGTAGTATATGGGTCACAGTAACCAAAAGGCAGGAGCTAACTGAGCTCATCTCAGGATCTGAGGATAGAGGTGAGGACAAATAGGAAGGAGCTGAAGGTACCAGCAGCTGGCCACTCCAGAGCAGTACAGAGGCAACCTCCCCTGATGCCCAGGGCCCATGGTTCCTATCTTGGCCTCAGAGTGTCCACCTGCCTGACTGCCCCGAGCACTTCCAGGAAAATAGCTCCTGGCCATGCCTGAGGGGCCCACATTAGTCCTTTCTAACCACCTCTGATCTACTTCTACTCCTCTTGGGCCAAATTCAGTTTCTCATCCCTTCAACTCCCTCTGTTCATGAGCAGCTTCTGCATGCTAAAAGGGTAATTATGCCTACCGTGCAGGAGAGGAGACTGAGCCCACAGACAGCTATAGCTGGACCTCCAGCTGCACAGCAGCTCGATGGGCAGGTAGTGGGTGGGATATCCCTCACCCTACAGCTCATATGCCCTTCAAACGCATGGATAGTTTCTTTTTTTTTTTTTTTTTTTTTTTTTTTTTTTTTTTTTTTTTTTTTTTTTTTGGGTGTTT